GCTCCAGACATGCGCGTAGATACATCAGGGCTGTAGGAATGGGTGCACAGTCAGAGAGAGTGACCTTCTCCAGCTGAAGGTAGAGAAGACCAGGATGCTGCCACTGCCCCATGCCTGGCCGCTCTTGCTCCTCTGCTCCGAGGCCAGCTGTGTGGTCAGGAAAGGCAGCCTGTTCAGCGCTCCCAAGGGAGTCCTGTGGCTGCATCTGCCTCCTCCCTGGCTCCCCACTGCCTTCTGCCCGAGCCCCAGTGCTCCCTGCACTGTGAGGGTGGCAGTGCTGGCAGGATTGGAGGCAGCTGGCTCTCACTTCCTCTGTGTAGACCCCGTGTCCAGGAAGAATGTGAAGTCAGCCCACAGTACCCGGAACCGGTACTCGAGCCAGTGGACTCTGACCAAGTGCCAGGCCTCCACACCTGCCCGCACGCTCACCTCCGACTGGCGCACGGCGGGCTCCCAGCACGGCGTCACCGTCACTGAGAGTGACAGCTACAGCGCAAGCCTCTCCCAGGACACAGGTGAGGCCAGGGCCCTGCCTGTTCCTGCTCCCGCTCGCCCAGTCCCATCACCCCGCTCCCCCTGCCATTTTCCCAACTCCTACCCGCCGGCCCATGGGGTCCAAGACACTGTCAGTTTAGTTCCCGGCTGGCTGCTGGCGCCCTGTGTGGCGGTGACACAAACACCAGACCTCGCTGAGCCCTGCCTGGTCGGGGTTTCAGTTTGCTCTCCCCCAAAATAGAGGAAACAGTCTGCGTGGCGTCTGCTGGAGGAAGGGCTGAGCGGCCGAGGAGTTGCTTAGTTCCCAGAGTGTTTGCCCCCCCCCTACCCCCCAGCCCAGATCCCAATTCTGCTCCCTTCACAGTGGGAGGGCAGGGTCTCAGCCTGGTTCGCCCACACCTGCGGCCAGGCTCTCAGCTGGCTGGGGAGGGGCCGGGGGGGAGCTGCTCAGTCTGGTCTCGTTGACTCCCTCCTCCCGGGAACCCACGTATTTCCTCCTCCTCCCGCCTCCCGCCTCCCCAGACAAAGGACGGAACAGCATGGTGTCCACGGAGAGCGCCTCTTCCACGTACGAGGAGCTGGCCCGGGCCTACGAGCACGCCAAGCTGGAGGAGCAGCTGCAGCACGCCAAGTTCGAGATCACCGAGTGCTTCATCTCAGACAGCTCCTCGGACCAGATGACCACGGGCACCAACGAGAATGCCGACAGCATGACGTCCATGAGCACACCCTCCGAGCCCGGCATCTGCCGCTTCACCGCCTCCCCGCCCAAGCCCCAGGATGCGGACCGGGGCAAGAACGTGGCGGTGCCCATCCCTCACCGGGCCAACAAGAGTGAGTGCCCAGGCCACCTCCCCCGCTGCGGCCCCTGCCCCAGACCCCATGAGCCCTGCCAGCCCCAGGGGTTCCCTGGCAGTGCGGGTAGTGCAAAGAGCAGGACTTGGGAGCAGGCAGACCAGGGCCCATGTCCTGTTCAACCTTTTCATATCTCTGTGGCCTTGGGCAAGTCATTTCACCTCTCTGGCCTCGCGGTTATAAAATGCAAATGATCGTGTATGCTTTTCCGTGTTGTAGCGGGCATTAGAAATGATGCACATGCATGGCTCACAGTACGTTCTCACTAAGTAGTGACCAGTCTGAAGCTATGTCAGGATGGAAAGAGACTCCCCTGGGATCAACTGCCCAGTGGCCGCTGGTCTCAATGCTGTGAACTTAATCCTGACCCAACAGAGCGATCCTGGCGACTCAGCCCATGGGCCAAGCCTCCCGGTGGGCAGTGCCCTAGCCTGGCTGAGAACCATCCCACGGCAGGGGCCTGGCCAGGGCATACGCCCCTTGGGGTTGAGGGGCAGGTCTAGGATGAGCGGGGGCAGGTGAAGGAGTCCATCAGCAGATATTGGGGCACCGCAGGCACGGCCCAGGCCGTCACCCCATGAGTCTGGTCTGCTCGACACTGGCCTTACTCAGTGGCCAGGCTAACCTGAGGCCCGGGGTCATCTAGAGAAGGGCCTGGGGCAACAGAGGTTGAGGATTCAGGAGACCAGCAGCCCTGGGTGACGCCCACCCCTCCTCGCTGGTCGAATTTGGGCAAATTACTTCATCTTCCTGAACCTCCGTGTCCTCACTTGCAAAATGCAGGCAGCCTACCCAGGGGGCTGCGGGGCCAAGTGGGGTCGTCTGCGAAGGTGCCTGGCAGGCCAGCAGGACGTGGAGACAGTTTCAGAAACAAGGGCGTTCCTCCTGAGAGGCCGTGCGGGGGAGAGTGAGCCGCTCTGTGGGTCCTCCGAGGGCAGAATCAGGTTCACGGCACAGAAGTGGCAGGAGGGACAGTCCTTTTCTCCTCCTGGGAGGAAACGCGTCCCCCAGCCAGAGCCCTCGGGAGCCCGCTCCTCAGCAGGGAGCCCTCTGCGGCCGCGGCTCAGCGTGGCCACTGACCCATAAGCACCAGCTCACCAGCGGCCGCTGTGCCAGCCCCTGTACTGGGGGCCCGTTACCTTCCTCTCCGCTCAGATGTCCTTAGGGAATGCGATTGGCCCCATTTCACAGATAAGGACACTAAGGCTCAGAGAGGACAAGTAACTGACCTTTCCTCAACCCTTCACTGCCATCCCGGGGAGGGACTCCTAGCCAGCAGGGGGGTGTTGGGGGGCGGGAGGTTGGCTGGGCCCCGCCTCTCATCTCCTCTGCTTCTCCGCCAGGTGACTACTGTAACCTGCCCCTGTACGGCAAGTCCGAGGCCTTCTTCCGAAAGGCAGAGGGGCGTGAGCCCTGTCCCGCGGTCCCGCCCCGAGAGGCCTCCATCCGGAACCTGGCCCGAACCTACCACACCCAGGCTCGCCACCTGACTCTGGACCCCGCCAGCAAGCCCTTGGGCCTCCCCCACCCAGGGGCCCCCGCTGCCGCCTCCACGGCCACCTTACCTCAGAGGACTCTGGCCATGCCAGCGCCCCCGGCTGGCACAGCGCCCCCGGCACCCGGCCCCACCCCCGCCGAGCCCCCCGCTGCCCCCAGTGCTGCCCCTCCAGCCCCCAGCACCGAGCCTCCCCGGGCCGGAGGCCCAAACACCAAAATGGGGGGCTCCAGGGACTCGCTGCTCGAGATGAGCACGTCGGGGGTAGGGAGGTCTCAGAAGCAGGGGGCAGGGGCCTACTCCAAGTCCTACACCCTGGTGTAGGGCCGACCTCGGCCCGTCTGCACCCCCAGCCCTCAAACACCAACTCGGCCGCTTTCCTGCACCATCGATGTTAAACTGACCGGCAGAACCAACCCACCATGACCACGACCGTGTTGCGAACGCTTGTACATAGGACTCTTTTGTACAAATGAAACTATTTTCTTCTTCTCCGTGAAGCCAGGGCACAAAGAACTTGACAGTACACGTCACCCCCACCCAGAAACCACGCGTGGAGCGAGAGATACACATGCACATAGGAGCACAGCGACCACTATGTCTGTGTATTTCTCTCACCTTATTTTGAGACAGAAGCACAGACTCGGCAATTTCTCCTCCCCCGCCCCCGCCCCCGCCCCCTAATCTCGGTGGTTTTGACAAAGACCAAAATCCCAACTCAGAGACACTGCATGCGATGTCACTGTCCCACGGAAGCCAGGAATTGCTTCAATTTGCAGATGCTTATGTGTTAATACCTTTTTCTATGAAAAGAGACCCAACGGCTATGTTTCTACGTGGTGGCTTTCTCCCAGCTGGCGGGGGGCGGGGGGGCGGAGGGTGGGGGGGCGGGGGGAGGCCCCGTCCCAGGCCATCGTTTCACACAGAGAGGCTTTCAGAGCTTCTGGGGGGACTGTTAGGGCCAGGTGAGCCTGGGGGGGAGGGAGGTCATCAGAGGGCGGGAGGGCTGGTGGAGGGGGACAGAGCTCAGCCAGGAGAGTCAGGCTGGTCCTGCTTCACCTGGTTCAGAGGAGTTGGCGACTAGGTTCCAGGTGAAGGGACAGAACCAGACACTAGGGAAAGCCCAGGCGAGCAGTTGTGGGGGACCTCCCTGCACCGGGCGGTGGGGGCAGGTGTAAAGAGGGCCCCTAAGAAGGGCAAGGGCGCTCCTGAGGTCTGCACCCCCAGCCAAGGCCAAGTGTGCAAGGGGAACGTGGAAGGAAGGTGAGTCTGCGCCCGCCCTCGGCTGAGAGGAGGAGCTGGGGAGGAAGGCGGGGGCTTGTGCCTGCGAGCGGAGGCCACAGTGAGGGCTGCACACCTGAGATGCACGGCTCTCCATAATCAAGGAACTTATTCCGTAAACATTCCCTGAGTACCCAGTGAGGGGGCCTGGGACAGAGGAGGGGCAGAGGAGGGCCCCTTGGGGACTCCTGGGTCCTCGGGGAAACTCCATCTCGGGCCCCACACCCAGGGCCCACCCCGGAGACCCAGTGGTGGATTAAGGAGAACAGGGAGAACAAAGCTCTGTGCTCCAGGCACCTGCTGACGGGCCAGCTCCGCTCCAACCTGGAGGACAGGGCGCCCCCTGGGCTGCTGGCACAGAACTGCAAGCAGCAATCAGGCCAGGAGATCTTCCCTGGCCCTACACATACACACACACACACGCACGCTAGCACACACACGCACACACATGTGCGCGCACATGCACGCACACATGCATGCATGCTCACACATACATACACTGGGCCCTGGGAAATCACAACTGAGCCCCGCTCCGACCAGCACACATGGAAGAACGAATCCCAGAAGCCAGAGTGAAGGGAGCCAGCCGCCAAGGATGCCGAGAGAGCCCTGTGCAGGCTGAGCAGAGCCCTTTCTGCTCATTGGGTCTGGGAACCTCCTCGCTGCGCCATCTCCATCTCCACCTGAAAGGGAGAAGGTGGAGCTCGGGATTCAGCAAATCGCCCAGAGTTAGAGGGGCAGGGAGAGACGGAGAGGAGACGCAGACTCAGGAGAGCCTGCTGCCTTCCCCTTGGACCCGAGCGCCGGTGGGTGCTGCCCGGGGAAGAGGCCCAGGACCAGGTGAGCAGCTGCGTCCCTGCGCTTCCTGGTGCAGCTCCGGTCTGTGTGCAGCTGTTACTGACCCATCAGGGCATGAGCCAGTGTGCGGCTGGGTGGCAGGGAGCCCCACATGCTCCGCCCTGGGGAGGGGCAGTGAGCGGAGGCAGGAGGCAGGTCTGGACCTGAGGTGGGCCAGATGGGAATCGAAGGATTTGGAGAGGCAACAGAGAAGCAAACTTCGAGCCAGTTTAGCTTGTGTTCGGCTGAGCTGGGCCCCTTCCTGTAAACAGAAGGCCTGGAGATTGAGAGGGGCTTGTGCAGAACTCGCCTGATGTTACATGCCGATTGCCTCTACCCGCAGCGTGTTCTGTAGCTGGACCACAGCCTGGTTCGGCCGCACCCAGAAGCTGGCTCATGGAGCAGCTGAACACCTGCTCCTCCAGGCTGAGCTCGGAGTCTGGGGCAATCCGCACAAACGTGGTCTGCTCCTTTCCAGAGCGGCACTGTGTCCACCACAGACGAGGCCACCGTCTGGCTCAGAGCCTTCACACTCAAAGTGGGGACCACAGGCCAGCACGTCAGCATCCCCGGGAGCTGGTGAGAAGTGCACAGCCAGAGGCTCCCCCAGACCCACTGGGTCAGAGTCTGCCATCGAGGAAAATCCACAGAGGATATGGATGCACAATCAAGTTCAAGAAGCCCTCTGCTAGCAGGCCTTCCGAGAGGCCACGCCCCGCTCTCCCACTGCCAACGACCCAGACAGACTAGTGGGTCTCAAACTTGGTTGCACATCAGATTCACCTGAGGAGCTTGTTTAAAAAAAAAAAAACAAGTCCATCCAGCTGGCGCGGCTCAGTGGTTGAGTGTTGACCTACGAAGCAGGTCAGGGTTCGATTCCCGGTCAGGGCACATGCCTGGGTTGTGGGCTCCATCCCCAGTAGGGGGTGTGCAGGAGGCAGCAGATCAATGATTCTCATCATTGGTGTTTCTAACTCTCCCTCTCCCTTCCTCTTTGAAATCAATAAACATATATTTTTTAAAAAACAAAAACAAGTCCAGATCTCACCAACCGCAGTGTTTGTGGGTGTACAGCCAGCATTTGCTTTGGGTTTTATGTTTATTGTGGTAGAAGATATACAACATAAAATTTACCTTTTTTTTTTTTGGATACGGGTTTTTTTCACGTCTTTTAGGGAGAGCGTTGGCATGCTTTGGGTTGTACCTGGGATAGTAGTAGCCTGGGGAACAGAAGCAAGACTTTGCTCTTGTCTGACTTGGACTGTGAGTGTGGTTTAAAGAGATGCGGACGGATACACTGCTCTGCCTTTTTCTTGTTGTTTTTGCCAACTTTTAAACTTATTGTGATTGAGGTATAATTGGCAATAACATACTAGTTTTGGGTGTCCAACATAATCATTCAACCTCTGTGCATATGGGAAATGATCACCACGGTAAGTCTAGTTAACATCTATCACCACACATAGTTATAAAAAAAAATTTTCTTGTGACGTGAACTTTTAAGATTTACTCTCTTAGCAACTTTCAAATATGCAGCACAGTATTACTAACTATAGTCACCATGCTTTATTTTCCCAGCACTTATTTATTTTATAACTGATTTATTTTGACTGCCTCCACCCATTTTGTCCAGCCTCGGCCCCCTGCCCCTGGCAGCCAGCAATCTGTTTCCTGTAACTATGAGCTTGGGCTTTATTTTGGTCTTGTTTCTTCAAATTTCACAAACAGACTTTGTCGGACTGATTTCACTCATAATGCCCTCAAGTTCCGTTCTTTTGTGGCAAAGGGCAAGATTTCCTCTTTTTGTGGCTAAACAGTATTCCACTGGATGCATACACCACACCTTCTGTATCCATTCACCCATCATTAAACACTTAGGTTGTTTTCATACCTGGGCTACTGTAAATCATGCTGCTATGAATACAGCAGGACAGATATCTTTTTTAATGTTTTTATTTATTTCATAGAGAGAGGGAGAGAGAGATAGAAACATCAATTACGAGAGAGAATCATTGATTGGCTGCCTACTGGGGATCATGCCCACAACCCTGACCAGTAATCGAACCTCAACCTCCTGGTTCATGAGTCAACACTCAAACACTGAGCCACACTCACCAGGCCAGATATCGTTTTTAATTAGTGTTTTCATTTTCTTTGGATGAATGCTCAGAAGAGGAATTGCTGGGTTATGTGATGGTTCTATTTCTAATTTTCTGAGGAACATCATACTGTTTTCCACAGTGTCTGTACCAATTTACATTCCCACCAGCAGTGAACAAGGGTTCTCTTTTCTCCACACCGTCGCCAGTACCTATGTCTTATTTTTTATGTGGTAGCTACTCTAACAGGTGTGAGGTGCCATCTCATGGTGGCTTTGATTTGCATTTCCCTGATAATCAATGATGTTGACCATCTTTTCATGTACCTGTTGGCCATCTGTATGTCTTCTTTGGAAAAATATCTATTCAGATCATTTGCCCATTTTTTAATCCAATTGTTTGGGGGTTTTTTCATAGAATTGTATGATTTCTTTATATATTTTGAATATTAACCCCTTATCAGATATGTGATTTGCAAATATTTTCTCCCAGTCAGTAGGTTGCCTTTTCATTTTGTTGATGGTTCTTTTGTGCAAAAGCTTTTTAGTTTAATGTAGTTTATTTTTGCTTTTGTTGCCTTAGCTTTTGGAGTCAGATCCAAAAAATCATCACCAAGACCCATGTTAAGGAGCTTACAACCTATGTTTCCTTCTAGACACTTTATGGTTTCGAGTCTTATATTCAAGCCTTTATTTTGAGTTAATCTTTGTCTGTGATGTAAGATAGTGGCCCAGCTTCCCCGCTGCCATTCTTCAGAAAGACTGTCTTTTCCCCATTGTATATTCTTGGCTCCTTTGTTGTAAATTAATTGACCATATATGTGTGGGTTTGTTTCTGGGCTGTCTATTCTGATACATTGATCTATGTGTGTTTTTTGGCTTTAATTATACTTTAATTTCCATAGCTTTGTAATGTGGTTTGAAATCAGGGAGTGTGATGATGCCTCCACAGTTTTGTTCTTCTTTCTCTACATTACTTTGGTTATTTAGAATCTTTTGTGGTTCCATACAAATTTTAGGATTGTTTGTTCTATTTCTGTGGGAAATGCCACTGGCATTTTGATTAGGATAACATTGAATCTGTTGATTGCTTTGGGTAGTTTGGACATTTTAACAATATTAACTCTTCCAGCCCCTGAACACAGAATATCTTTCCACTTATTTGTGTCTTCCTCGGTGTCTTTCACAAGGTCTTATAGTTTTTATTGTACAGATCTTTCACCTCCTTGGTTAAATCTATTCTGAGTATTTTATTCTTTTTAATGCAGTTGTTAATGGGACTGTTTTCTTAATTTCTCTTTCTGATAGTTCATTATTAATGTATAGAAATGCAACAGATTTTTTTTTCTTCTATTAATCTTTTTTTTAAATCTTTATTGTTCAGATTATTATAGATGTCCCTCTTTTTCCCCCCATAGCTCCCCTCCACCCGGTTCCCACCCCACCCCAGGCCCTCACCACCCCACTGTGCTAGGTGTCCTATAGGGCCCAGTGGCTCAGCCTCCCCAATCACCTGAGGTGGACACTCTTGGTGCACCCCTTTGTGGGCTTTGTGCACAGTCTTGTTGTAATTAAGCCTTGATTGCTGTTGGCATCACTGGGAGGAATTGACCTCCAGGTCAATTGGCTGTGAGGACCAGCTGTGACTACAATGGAAGAGCTGCTGTGCAGGAGACACCCTTATGGGGCAGGACATGCTTCAGTGGGGCTTTGGTGCTCACCGAGTCTGCCCTTGAGTGTGTCACTTATCGATGTGAAGAGTTATAATCTGGATGGTCTCACTCTGACCACTGGGTACACTGGCTCTTGGATCTCCAAGGAGGTGCAAAGTCAGCCACTGCCTGGACTCGAACCCGGGACCCTTTGGTCCACAAACTGACACTCTACCCACTGAGCTCTGTTCTTAAGAGGGAGGAGGCAGAGGCCCTGGCGAGGACACACTCACACAGCCGCCTTGTAGAAAATGGACCAACAGAGATTTAATTGATGTACAAACACAGGCTGGTTACAGAGAGGGTGCAACACATACGCTAGTCCCACAGGATCCGCCACGGACCTGTTTCTGTGTGGCAGACTGAGCCGAGCACGCAGGGTAGATAAAAGCCATCGGGTCTGGTTTCTTAGTTGGTCTCCATGCATAGAGGCCAGGGCAACCCCACAGCTTTCCCGGCAAGAAGAAGGGAGTGTTCTGTTCTTTACACCGACACAGATGTCAGAGACGTGTCTGCGGACTCCAGGGGGCCGCTGTGAGAGGGGTGCAGGGGGCTGTGCAGATGGGCAGTGGCTCCTGGGGCACAAGACCCCTCCCTCTAAGGCCCCGCTCCGGCCCTGCCCCCACCTCCTTAGACCCAGTCTCCCAGCTGAGCAGGGTGGGCACAGCAGAAAACAGCTAGAAACAAGCACACGTGGATGCACCCAGGGGTGAGAGGCGAGAGCACCAGCACCATCCGGCTTTCCCGGGCGGCTCTCACTGAGCTGTGTGCTGCAGACCTGAGAAGCCACGGGGAGGGCTCTGCACAGAGCCCAGCAAAGGGAAGGGTGCCCTGGGGACAGCACAGTGCGGCTGAGGGAAGGGGGGCCCCAGCACCCTCGGGCAGGGCTGGGCCCAATCCTGAGATAGTCAAAAGGAGAAACAGAGAACTCAAGAAAGGGGACGTTTTAAAAAAGGGAAGGAGGAGAAAAGAGAAATGGCCTGAGCTCATGTGCTGAGGTATTGGAGAGACAGCGTCCCAGGCACAGGGCACAGGACACAGGACGCGGGGGCCTTGCTCATGGAGTGAGGACTGCGCATGTCACTGTGCGGAGCCCTGCAGGCCGGTGCAGGCTCACCTCGCTCCACAGGGATCCCTGGGCCTCTGACATCAACGCCGGTGATGCCCCCTCCCCGAAGGTGCCCATGTCCCAGGGGCCCACATCAGCGCTGCCATATCCTCACAGCGGCTCACAGACGTCCCACGGTCACCCTGCAGTCCGCTCGTGGTCGCTGCAGGTGGCTCCTAGCTCTCAGCTCTGCCATCCTCTCCACCCAGCCCGCCTCCCCTGCTGTAGAGCTTCATCCGAGGCAGGTGCAGGCCCCTCCTCGGCTCCTGGCCTGGGAGCAGGAGATGCGGGGGCCCACACGGCCGCTCGAGCCTCAGTAGCGGTTCACCTGCAGCCTGTTGTTCTCATCCAGGCTCAGCTGCAGGAGGCCCGAGGCTGCTGGCTTGGGCGCTAAGAACAGATGCCTGGCCACAAGGTGAAGGAAAACTGCAGGCAGCTGAGCACCGGGAAAGGCCAGGGAAGGAAGGGAAGGAAGGGAAGGAAGCCCAACAGGATCATCCTCGGACCCCCAGGGCACAAACACAGCCGCCCCGCTCAGCCAGCCGGCTACAGCAGGAAGGGGCCAGGGTTTGAGAGATGGCTGAAAGGATATAACTTGGGGTCATTCCTGTAGTGTTCCAGCCACCGCCGGTTAGCCTCGATCATGCCCTGCAGACTGGCGCTGCCCACCTCGGGGACGTGGGAGTGGGGATGCTGCAGGAGGCGGAGCTGCTCCCTGGAAGGAGGAGGCAGGGGCAGGAGGGCCAGGGGAGGGCCTGTGACTCGGTGACCAAAGGCAGCACATCGCCCCCTCCCCCAACATCAGCTACAGGCTTATGGGGTGGCTTTAGCCATTCAAAGCTTCCCCCACTGGCAGGAGGCCCTCGGGACTGTCCCCCCCCCCCCCCCCAGCTGGGTTCTCCTGACATCAACACTGTGGCTCCACACACACAGATCCTGGTCCCATCTCATCAACAAATGCCCGCCCAGCATCAGCTCCCACTGGTCAGAGGGGTGGGGGGTGCTAATGGTTGGGCCTGTGGGGGGGGGGCAGGGGATGTGGCCAGGAACAGGATAAGCAGGCTCAAATGCTGGCCCACCTGTCTCCCCCACAGGGCGCCCCCTCCTCCAGATGCTGCTACAGGACTGGGGAGGCAAGGAACTGTGGGCAAAGCCACTCCGGGCTGGAGAGCTGGAGGGCCACGCGAGGGCTGTGCCAGGGCTGGCCAGGCTGCTTCCTCCCCGAGGTGCCACAGGGCACTTCCTCACGGAGCTGGGCTCCGGGACTCTCCTCTGGCTGTGCCGAGGGGCGGCTGGGACCCAGGCCTGCCTGACCCTCAGGGCTGCCCCACCTTGAGCTCTGCTCCCCTCAGAGGTGGCGCCAGAGCTGCAGGGAGTCTTACCTGGCAGACACGTAGCCCAGCCTGTTCTCCAAGGGCACAGGGCTGCTGCGGAGACTGGGGCTCCCAGCTGGGGAGCAGGAAGCAATGGCTCAGGACAGGGGCCAGCTGGGCCTGAGCCTCAGCCGCCCGCCCGAGCAGCCGCCCCTGCTCCCCAGCACCTCTGCCTCCTCACAACAGAAAAGGCAGTGCCCCTCCCAAGGAGAACCTACACACAGGGAGACCTTCAGCTGCTGGAAGCGAAAGGTGGGAGGCGGGAGTCACCCTGTCCATTTCATCTCCAAAACGTAATCTACTTTTCTGTTTCCATTTCCAGTCGGTTCGATTCCCAGTCAGGGCACATCCCTGGGTTGCAGGCTCAATCCCCAGTGCAAGAGGCAGCCCATCAATGTTTCTCTCTCATTGATGTTTCTATCTCTCTATCCCTCTCCCTTCCTCTCTCTAAACATCAGTAAAAACATTAACAAAAACAACAAAAAACGAATGACGACCTCAGAGGGTTACAGGCCTAAATGAAAAACTTTACATGAAACACCCGGCCTACAACACAGCGCTCCCGATGGCGCCTCATGATGATAAGGACGACGGCCTTTCGGTTCTGCTGAGTTCTGGAGCCATAAAGGCCCCAGTGGCCCAAGCCCAGGCGAACCGCCCTCACCCACGGAGCCGAGGGGGCTGGCCCGGCCAGGCCTGCTTCCCAAGGGGCCAGTCAACCGAGCAGTGACCCAAAGCTGGGAGGAGGGAGGAGGGGGGTAGGGGAAGAAGAGAGGAAGAGGAGGAGGGGCAAGGCTGGGCCCAGGTCACATGCGGCCGAAGGAAGCTCACCTGGGAAGTACTTGCGCCACTTCTCCACCAGGAAGTCGTCCATGGCCTGAGTGGCGGAGGAGGAGAGCCTGGGGCCCAGCCCCGGGTCCCAGGCCCACTGGGTGGGGGTCCTCCCGGAGGGAGGGGGGCGGGGGCGGGGCCGGGGCCGGGGTGGAAAGTGAGGAGCGGGGGCGGCTGGGTGCCGAGGACGCCCAGCAGGCTGAGGACCTGGTGCAGCTGGCTGCTGATGTGCCGCAGGGAGCTGTCCAGGCACCGGATCTTGTCGGGGGCGGGGGGGCTGGCCGGGCTGCCTGGAAGGGAAGAGGCCGGTGGTGAAGGACCCAGGCCCCCGGGCCCTGTGGCGCCGCAGAGGGCCGGGCCTCGGTTCCCGGCAGAGCAGACAGCCAGAGCGCAGAGGCTGGTCAGGGACTGCGCACTCGGAAGGCTCCGGCGTGCGGCCTGTGGGCGGGAAAGCCCGAGCCGCTCCTCCTCGCCCAGCACCCACCGAGGACCCGCTCAGACACGGCTCCCCGAGGCCCGCACAGAGCGGAGGAGGGGCTGCCCGTTTCCCTCTCCACGGAAACCGGTCCCTGCGGCCACCACTCACCATGAGGCAGGGGCCCGGACTCTGAGCTTCCACTGCTAGTGTCTTCCGTGTCGCTGAGGTCAAAGGTCACCACTTTCTTGGTGGGGGGCCCTCTCAGAGTGTCCTCATCTAGAGCCTGTGGGTAGAAGCAGCAGTTCTTGCTGGCCCTCGCCCTGCGCCTTTGCCCACTGGCTTTGTGCTGGAGAGGAGCCCTTCACCCCTTCAGGTGCGGGCTCTTTGGGGCCAGGGTTCTGGGAGGGGCACATCCTGTGGGCTGCCTCGCGGGGTGGGGGGCGGGGGTAGGGAGAGGCTCACAGAACTCACCCACCTGAGACGCGGGCAGGCAGGCCACCAGGACCAGGCTGGTGCCCACCCTTTCTCTCCCCAGTAAACTCACCCTGCAGGGTCTCCCCACCCACGCCTGGGCATCCGGGGAAAGGCTGATCCCCGGAACACCTGCCCTCAGGTTCCATGGCCGGGGAAGGGCCAGGGCTAGATCCTCTCCCAAGAAGCTTCAGCAAGAAGCTCCGGGTCTCTCAGAACCACGCAGCACAAATTACCCAACGCAGAGCTGAAGCCATGCCGTCTCCCCGCCCGGGAGCCTCAACAGGACCCAACACCCAACCGCATCCGGGCTGTGTGGCCAGGGCTCACCTCGTCCCGCAGAGAGGCCTCCAGCTCGCTCAGCTTCTCCTCCTTCCTCTGCAGCAGGTCGCGGCCTCTCCGCATGGCAGACTGCATCTCCCCCAGGTGCCTGGCCTCCTGCAGTCACGGGAGGGGAGGGGCCTGTGTGACCCACAGATGCTGGGGCCCAGCCTCGCCCTCTGTTCGCTGGGTTATGGTGAAACATTACTTAACTCTCAGTCTAGGTTCTCAGCTAGGAGAACTGCTACTTTTCATGGGCCCTGAGAATTAACTGAGATGCAGTATGTTACAAGGGAGGCGCTGGATGTGAAATTCAGAGCAGCTTACTGCACTCCTCACCTAGACAACGGAGTAACACTGGCCCCTTGCACATCACCTGCGGTTCCTGGGAGGCCATGCGGTTTCTATCAGAGCATCCTGCCCATGGTGCCCAGCCTCGCGACCCTAAGGTGAGTCTTTTCATCCTCGGGGAGCCACAGAATCTCCATCCCCGGCCCACCGCCCGACATGACGTGTGCCCAGAGCCCAAGGCTGTGCATCCGCCCTCATGGGGTCCCCAGAATGAGCAGTGGCGGGCGCAGCCCCGGCTCCCCAGACTCCCTCCCCGGGGCCCAGGCTGTCCTCCAGGCTCTGACCTCCTCCAGGCCCTTGCGCACGTCATCGCCCAGGGCCTTGGTGCCCAGCAGGTCCTCGGGCGCACCCGAAGCGGTGCCCAGCTCGTGGCCCCAGTGCTGCTGGGCGGCTTTCAGGGCTGCCTGCCGCCTGCGCATGGAGCGCGTCTGCCGCACCAGGAAGGCCTTGGCACTGCGGAGAGCCACCCCCTCGGCAGAGAGGTAGTGCCGGAAGCTGATGGGGACAGGCGGGGAGGGGGGCGGGGGTGAGAGGGCCTACAAAGACTCCAGAGCCCTGCTCTGGGTCACTCCAGCTCCTGGCAGACACCCATCCTGAGCAGACTGGGGGTGGGGCGGGGCTGCCGAGGAAAGGAACCCAGCCCCTGGAGACCACACAGGGCGTGTGGCACTGTCCTCCAGATAGAGGCCAGGCACTCCGGTCAGCCTGACTCTCAGCCTGCCGCGCCCAGTCACGGTGGGCACCGACTTCTCTGAGCTATGCCCACGGGTGACTGCCGTGACCTCACTTCCCCCGGCCCAACCCCAAATAGGACGGGCCATCGACGCACCTGTCCAAGGATGAGTCGGCGACCTCCGGGCTCTGGGAGACAGAAGGGGACACCTCTTTGGTCTGCTTCTGAGGACACAGGAAAACCCACTGACCCAGGCCAGCAGGTGCACGCAAGCGCCAGGCCTGAAACCCTCCCAGAGCCGACGCCCCGGCCCTGCTGGAGGCCGGGCACTGTTCACCCCTGAGACCCTCGGACTATGGAAGTGGGGGACCAGGAACAGTAAGAACAGGAGCTGGAGGCCCAATACAGAGCAGAGCCCCGCCCCTCCTGGAGCCCCGCCCAGCCATCCTGTCCCTGCCAAGGCCAGAGAGGCTCACGGTGCCAGGGGGTGTCTTCAGGTCCTGGACGTGGAGGTCTGGCTCACAACAGGGGGAAGCACTGCTCGCCTCGACCGCCAGCCCTTTCAGCGCCTCCTGCTTCCTCTGAGCTTCAGCCTCCAGGTCACTGTGGGTGGGGGTGCAGGAGGTGAGCAGGCTCCCCTGAGCACACTGTCGAGACCCCTGGTGGTCTTGGAGCCTCACCCGAGGTAGAAAATAAGACCATCTCCATCGCTTCACTTCCGGCCAAGCCTCTGAGGCAGGGCTGGGGCTTGAACGGTGAAACCAGGACCCCAGCTGCTCCCGCCTCCTCACACCCCCATCCCTACCACAGGCAGCAGAGCCTGGCTCCAGCCCTGCCTGGGACGGGCCGAACAGCGGAGGTCAGAGGGCACGCCACCTGATGCGTCTCTGCAGCCCCTTGGCCTGGGCCTGCAGCTGGTCCACCTGGGCTTCCAGCTCCAGCTTCTGGGCCCGCAGCTCGCCCAGTCTTCTTCGGAGCTGCCGGTTGGACTCGAGCAGGCGCGTGTGCTCCTGCTTTGCCTCTTCCAGGTGTTGATGGGTGGCTGTGACTTCCTGGGCAGAGGAAAGACAGAAGCGCCTGGAGAAAGAGTGGGAGAAGGCAGGGAGCCGGAAGCCCCAGGACAGGGCCCCGACAGGGCCCACACACCGGGCCCACACACCGAGGTCACGGGTCCTCCCCCTCCCACCCACCCCCCACTCCTTGGCATCCTGTGCTGGCTCCCCCACAGGTACTGCTGGTGGAATAGCCCCAGGGCCTGCAGGCAAAGACCAAGTGAACAAGCGGTGGGGGGTGGGGAAGAGAGAGGGGGGCAGACAGGGAAGCCAGGTGAGGAGACCAGGCTCGCTCTCCAGCGCCACCTGCTGCTTCAGGCCGACAGCCACCTCTCCTTGGGGCAGCCTCCTCCTGAGGGAGGGGACCAGCCTGGGCTACCGCCAGGCCCCAGGGCGCAGGGGCAGGAAAGGCCCATCCTGTCTTGGGGGAACCATGTCTCCAAGATCAAGGGCACCTGGGGACCCTCCACCCCACTCCCTCACCTGAACGTCCAGCTGAGCCAACCTGGCCTTGACCTCTTTGGCTCTGGTTTCCAGCTCCACCTCTAAACCTTGGAGTTTCCTTTCCTGCACAGAGCAAAGTCGGAGGAAAAAATGTATGTGTAGAAACGGTGCGAGGCATGAGGTGAGGGCAGGAGGGGTCCTGACCCCCAGGCCATGGCACACCCCCTGATAGGCTCCCACCCCCTCCCATGAGCCCCTGTGGCCTCCCAGGAAAGCACCACCCCTTGTTTATGCCCAGGGTGGGCAAGGAGCATGAGGTGCCAACCCCAAGGTCCTGGAGGGGCTGACCCCCTTGGCCCAGAAAACAAAGGAGCACCGATGTCCCAGACTGGGGTCGGCCAGCGAGAACCCCTCCCGCAGCTGCTGGCCTGCTGCCCCCACTGTCCCAGCCCACCTGCTCCCGGTGCCGGAGCCCCAGGCCCTCCAGCTGCCTGGCCTGCTCCTGCCTCGCGGCCTCCAGCTCCCGCTCGTGGGTCCTGCGCAGGCGCTCCAGCTCCCCAGTCAGGTGCCCCAGCAACGTGGCCCGCTGTGTCCTCTCCTGCACCAAGGGGGCCGCCAGTAGGAAACCACAGTCCCCACCCCTGCCAGTGCCCCAAGGCCAGCCCTTAGGACAGCGGGGTCCCCCCAGAGAGCACAGGCTGGACAGTGTGGTGAGGAAATGCCCTGGGGAGCCTCCTACTGCTGTTGCCTCCCTCAGGGAAGAGGCCATTAATAGTTCCCTCTTCCTCACAGGTCAGGACTGGTTTGGGAAGGAAGTCAGATCCCTCATGACCCGCTGGTTCTGCCGGGAAAGACAGCACAGAGAGTCTGGGATCTGGGGTCCCTGGAACCGCAGCCTAGAAGTCCAGGCAGAGGCCCAGCCACAGGCCAAAGTCAGCCACGGCCACTGCTCACCCAACAGTAGCAAGCCAAGCCGAGGGCGGTGGCTTAGGTAACTGACCTTTCCCACCCAGGCCGAGGCTGGAGATGGGCAGGTGAGGTTTGCCTACTGTTTGGCTCCTGCCAGGCTATTTCCTGGTGTCCTGGGTTCCTATGAACCCTGGTGGCAGGGTTAGGGTGGCCAAGGCTGAGGCTCTGGGATCGGACAATCTAGGCTTGGACCCTAGCTCCTGCCTGTCAGCCATGGGTCGGGGCAAGTGGCTCGCGCTCCCCAACTCTCAGTTTCCTCACTTTTAAAATGGAGGTAATGATAGGACATCCCCCCGGGGTGCTGTGAGGACTGAATGAGCTAATCTAGACCAAGCGCTGAGAACAGGGCCTGGCACGCGGCCCACGATCAATGCCAGGATCGTCACCCGAAGGCCAGTGCAGCCTGCCCGGCGGAGGGTCCCTCCTCATCCGATGGCTGAGGCACAACGGGACTTGGCCAGGGCAGGGCCAGGGAAGAGAGCCTCCCACAGACACTCCCCGCCTCCCCTCCCCCTCCCCCCGCCTCCAGCCGGCCCGCCAGGGCCCAGGCTGAGCCACATGTGCCACGGGGAGGGCCGTCACCTCGGCTTCATACTGCTCTCTGGCCTCCGCCACCGCCTGCCGGTGCTCCTCCTTCATCTTGTCCATCCTCCCCTCGTGTTCCCGTTCCACCTCCCGTCGCTTCTCTCTCAGGAGCCCACTGAGCTGCAGGGCAGGCGGCAGGATACAACGGGGGACTGAGCGGGCAGCACGCGGGACTGAGCATTCGGCCTCACACGGCACCCCCCCGAAGGCTCCCACGCACCCAGGTGCACGACAGGTGATGGCCACGCTCCCCACTGCCTCCCACACACAGGGCATGGCGTGGAGAAGCACTGCCGCGAGGGAACTGGGCTGTGAAACGGGAGCGGAGTGCCAAAGTGAGAGGACCCTCTGGGCCAGGATGGCTCAGCGGTCAGAGCACCACGACACTACCCGAGCCGGGAGCAGCGCAGCACACACCTCCTGCTCGTACTCCAGCAGCTGGCGCGCTCTCCGCTCCGCCCACCCCAGGCTCTCCTGCTGCTGGGCCTCCGCTTTCTGCTGAGCTTCCTCTCCCCCCTTCTGGAGGCTGGAGACCACCTAGGAGGGCCACGGGGGTGAGGCAGAGAGCACGAGAGTGGCCGGGGACCCACTTCCCAGGACCCGATGCCCCTCCCGCAGGCTGCAGGGGGAGAGGCTGCCTCCCTCGTGTGGCAGGGAAGGGTCGAGCGTGCGCTCAGGGCCACAGCCCAGGCTCTACCCACAGGCCAGGCCTGACACCTACCTCTCTGTGCTTGGCCTCCAGGGAGGACAGGAGCCGCGCCAGCTCAGCCCTGTGCTCTGTCTCCAGCGCTGCTGCCGCCTGGAGAGCAACAAAGGGCCAGTGAGGGATGCTGGGCAGAGAAGGCTGCCGGGCAGCGACCCAGACCAAGGAGGAGCCAGGAACACCAGCCCCAACGTGCCGCGAGCTCAGGGGATGAGGGAGCCTCTGGCACAAATTCCTTCTCCCGATACAGCTCAGCCCCTGAAGCCTGCAACCAGCCGACAGACAGGCATGTGGGCAGTGTGGAGGGCACGGAGGCGGTCCCGGCCACTGCTGCCACCCTGCCTCTGGGCGCTGGGGGCACTCCCGCTGGTGAACACGGCCAGGCAGGGAGGCTGCAGGCTTCGGCCCACGCCCGCCTGCTGGTCTCCTGGTCTCAGCGAGTCTCCATCCCTCACCAAAAGGAAAGAGAAGTCCCTCGGCCTGGCTGTTACTCACTTCAGCCTCTCACCTGAGGACAGACCCTCACACCAGCGGGGCATGGAGGAAGAGCGAAGGACAACTTCCTGAGTGCGCTACCGCTCAGCAAAGGCAGGAGAAAGGGGAGGGTGGAAGGTCATCGCATGTCCCCAGAGACAAGGACAGGGACGAGGCACAGGGGTCTCAGGACCTCTGCTCTGGTCGAAGTTCTTTCAGTCGTGAAATCTCCCCAAACCCATAGCCATCTCCCCCCAAACTTCCTCCCAGCCATGGCAGCACCCAGGCACCAGGCCCAGCAGCCCTCCAGGAGCCTCTGCGACCGCTCTCTGCAGGGACCAGACCCAGCTCCTGCCCGCAGCCAGCTGGGTCACGTGAGCAATGGGCCCAGGGTCTGCGCCCCGTCTGTGCAGACCCCACTTTCCACCCGGCGCCCACCTGCACGCCCAAGTCTCGCTCGCTCTCTGCACTCGGTCCCTCCCCAGGCAGCCCAGGCCTTGTGGGGCCGTATCAGAGAGGAAGGTCCCACTCTACTTGCTCACCTCTTTCCTCTCCCCTTCCAGCTGCTCCCTCCACTGCTGCCGGGCCTTCTCCTTCTCGGCATTCAGGGCAGCCTGCTCTCTCCTCTCTGAAGCCTCCATCTCTCCCCGGAGCAGCTCCAGCACACGCTGGCTGCCCTGCTCCAAGCTGGCCCTCTCGGCCTCCTGCAGGGCCGCCAGCTCCTCTCTCAGCCTCTGCAGGGAAGCCTGGTGCTCGGCCCTGGGCAGACGGAAGGGTGAGGAAGGAGCTGAGCCCTCGGGGCGGCCCCAGGGGCTGGGCAGCTCGCATGGGCACTCACCTGATTCGGTCCGCATCTGCCTCTGTGCTGGACTGGACCTGGGCCCGGAGCCGGGCCAGCCTCCGGCTCTCCTCCTCTCTCATCTGAGTCCCCTCCTCCTCAGTGGCCTTCTGCAGCTGTTCTTGCAGAGCTTGGGAGGAAAGGCAAGGCAAGTCTGCTGAGGGCCCACCCTATTCCAGCCGTATCCCCGGCTCTCGGCCCACAGGCCTGTGGCCTGCTGGGAAGTTTCTGGAGTCTTACAGGGGCACTGACCCCAGCCTCTGGTCTCTTACAGGGGCGCTGACCCCAGCCTCTGGTCCTGCTGCCTCCCTGCACCTCCCATGGGAGGGGGACCGTGAACTCCCCTGCCCTTTCCTCAGCAAGCGGATTACAGGCTGCCTGATCCCAGACCAGCATTCCTCCCCCAGGCTCCCTCTGCCTCAGCCTGACCCTGGTCCACATCTTTCTCTCTCCACCCATAGGTTCTGCTCCAGCCACTTTCGATGAGCCACCTCTGACCCCACCGCTCTCCTGGCCTCTGGGCCTTGCTCCTGCCGGTTCCTCTGCAAGAATCCCCTTCTGCCTGCCCATCCGTGTTCATCATTCAATGCCAAGCCCCGCCCTCTCAGAGGAGTCTTTCTGACATGCTGGAAGCCAATCCACCCTTGCTGCTTGACGCAGTCGCTGCAGGGATGTTTCAAGGGACCTGGCGTATATGGCATACTGTTCTTAATATGTTTGCTCCCCCTCTTAATGCTATGTGTTTTAAACAGGACCACCTCTCTGAGAAAGGTTGTTTCCCCAGGTGAGGATTTTTATCAGTAAAACCCCTTAACTAAGTGCCAGGTGGGTAGTTAATCACTTTACGCTTAAACTACATAATCTTTACTTAGAATAATCTCCTTCAGTTACATCCTTGTAGCTTAATAGAACAATAGAGTAACCTTGGAATGGAGATAAGAAACGCCCTGACCTTTGGAATAGAATAGATAGGGTTAAGATCAAATAGTATAAATACAAATGTAAGAGGACAATAAAAAGAGGAACCTGGCTAGGAGGAACCTCGCCATGATGATCACCTGAACGCTGTCTCCATGTCATTCCTTCCTCGCCGACTCCGTCCACATCTTGGGGAACCCCTGGACTTGTTGGGGCTGGACCCCAACACTGACACCACCCCCCAGTTCACCAACCACCCCATCACAGCTACATCCCGCCGCTCCACACTGCCTCACAAGTAATCACCTGTACGTCTGTTTTTCTTTCAAGTTTGGGAGCTTCTCCAGAGAAAGAACCTTTTCTCCAAACGTGTTACATCCCAGGTACCGAGCACAGGACCCGCCCTGGGATAGGTGCTCCGTACTGTCTGCTGACTTCCAACAGTGTCTCCTAGCCCCAAACACAGGCCGGCCCATAAGTCACCTTCCCGTTTAAAACTTTAATAACGTTTTTGGCAGTAATTTTTTTTTAATTTTTATTTCAGATTCTGAAAACTTGTTCCCTGGAAATTTATTATGGGAAAATGAATGATGGAACAACGCATGAAGATCACCGAATTTCATTTTCAATCAGCCCTCCACGACTCTAACACAGAGAGCACATATAGGCTTCCATTTTGGGTCCACCCACTGACCCAGCAGTGCGTCCCAGGCAGGAGACCGTGCTCAGATCACACACAGAGGAACACAGGGGGTGCCGGGGGAGCAGGGCTGAGTGTGTGCAGGGCGGTGGGGGGGAGCAGGGCTGAGCGTGTGCAGGGCGCTGGGGGGGGGGGGGAGCAGGGCTGAGCGCTTGCAGGGCGCTGGGGGGGAGCAGGGCTGAGCGCTTGCAGGGCGCTGGGGGGGAGCAGGGCTGAGCGTGTGCAGGGCGCTGGGGGGAGCAGGGCTGAGCGTGTGCAGGGTGCTGGGGGGGAGCAGGACTGAGCGTGTGCAGGGCACTGGGGGAGAAGCAGGGCAGACTAGGGCAGCACATGCCACAGACTTACACACGGACCCCCATAAGGTGCACTGGTGCATGAGCTCACACCCAGGACTGCCCAGCAGCTTAGGGACATGTTAACAGCCGTCATGGAAAATGCCACGGAAAGACCCTGTGCTTTGAAGTGGAAAGTGAAGGACATTTATGTGACATCATTTTTCATACATAGTTTTAAAAATTCGCATTTTCTGTACTTTGTATTGTAAAAATAGGAAACATTAAAAAACAAAAAAAATTATTCAATTTTTAAACGGTAAAGCGACTTAGGGGCCACCCTGTATAAGCAAGCTCTGGGGACCTATGAGGGCATCCTCTGGACAGACCGACCACGGGAACCATGTCGCCCCAGCAGACATCCCGCTGCTGGCCCCAGGCCCCCAGGCCCCCTGGCCCCCAGCCCCAGGCCCCCAGGCTCCCCGGCTCCCCGGCCCCAGGCCCCCAAGCCCCTCACTGCGCGCCCCCCGCCCCGCCTCCAGGCCCCCCAGCCCCAGGCGCCCCCAGGCCCCCCAGCCCCAGGCGCCCCCAGGCCAGGGCCGGGAGCTGTGCTCAGGGAGTCCAAGCCCAAGGAAAACATGTCTCGGGAGACAGCGCCTTTGAGAAGCTTCAGTAATGAGTTCCAAAGCTCGAGAAGAGTTAGGCTCACTTTCTGTTCAGGTTGTCAGTTCGGGGTTCCTCCTTCTCGAGGCAGGAGCGGGGGTCAGGGAAAAACCCTTGCCCTGACCCTGGGGGGCCC